CCCCTTACCTTTAGTTTGAGGTCAGAAGTGTGACTCCTTCATTTCCCCCCGCTTTTAATCAGGAAAGCTTTGGTTATTTGGGGTCTTATGTATTTCCATATGAACCTCAGTAATCTTTGTTCTATTCCTCTGAAGAATGCCATCGGGATATTTATTGGGGTTGCAGTGAATCTAGAAGGGGCTTTGGGTTGGATGGCCCTTTGGACAATGTTGATTCTTCCACCCCATGAGCTGGGTCTTTCTTTCCATTTCTCTACACTTTCTATTATTGTTTTCCACAATGTTTGATAGTTTTCCTTGTAAAAGTCTTTCACCTCCTCTGTTAAATTTATTCCCAGTTAATTTTTTTGCGTGTGCAATTGTAGGAGGGATGGCTTTGTTAATTTCCTCTTCTAGTTCATTATTTGTACTTAGGAAGGCATATGTTTTTCAGTGCAGAGTTTGGTGGCATTACATACACTCACTCTGTCGTGTAACTCTTATTTCTGAAACCAGGGTGTCCCAAAGGCTTACATACATCCCCAAAATAGACCTGCGTTCTTTCTGCTCATTGCTTAACCCTTTGCACTCCGCTGTCCCCTCTCAGGGGACATCGGAATTCTAGCATATCACTCGGATGTCCCCTCTCAGGGGACATTGCAATTTATTAGTGATTATGGGGAATTGAGTTATTTCAATGCAACTTTTTGAGACATGCATGTTTCCCTGAAGTTTTATCTTGAAATGGCACAAAAAATTAAATCAAAATATCGTAAAATTACTAAGATATACACAAGAAATGTCAGCGGGTTTTGTGTCGGACGAGAATGTGAGATGCGTGCTCACGACGGTCCGAGCACGTCGCGACGCCACTTGAAAAGAGTGATAAGGGCAGTCTGTAGAAGAAAGGTCGGTTTTCAAACATAGTGTGCACTGATAAACAAGTCTACATCTGGGGGAAAAGATTTTCAAAGCTGAGGTCATTTTGGTTTGAAGCTTCCAGCAGTGCACATAGATCTAATGAGGAGAAAATCAGAAAAGTGATTCTTTTCTTAGTGAATAAATTGTTTGGTGAAAGCTATTTTGGTAAATATCATCTTGTCAGTAATAACAATTAGAAACTTTCAACCCATGCATTTATTTATATTTTTTATTAGAACAACGGCAAAGCATCCAACCACGAATGAGTCTCATGACACAAGTAGTAGTAAAGATGAGCTCCACTAATCAGCCTGCAATGCATATTGGGGAGTGTTACAAAACTTATCATACTGTACAAAATTATAAACAATAAAATATTGTTTTTTTTTGCAAATATACATTCCTCGATGTCACCCAATTCATATAAGTCCAATATCATTATTATACATTACTTGGTTCTAAAATTATACTAAATAATACAAGGGTCTGCAAATGCACGTTTCCGCCGCAAAGTAGCATCGTGTAGCTGGTAGCCAATGTCCAGAATGGTTCGGAGTGCAAAGGGTTAAAAGTCAAACTATTCTTTGTCTTCTAGCCTGGCAACATTACCAAGACGAACATGTTCTTCCTGAGCAGTTCTGCTTCTCCAGAGAAAGAGAACCTCGCAGCCCAAGACCTGCAATCCACTTCGGTATCTTATGGGTACACGCCCTTTCATCCAGGGGATGAACTTAGGGGTGGGGGCGACCAAGGGAGATGGCACAGACCTGCAAGTAGCACACACCTCTTGTCCCGATATCCGAAGGATAAGCGCCCCACACAAGAACGGACCCATAGCCTCCCTGCTCCGTAAGTCTCAGACCGTGAAGCTGTCCACAGCCACTGCAGCAAGAACTCCATCCCCAGCCAGGGAGCTGACCCACAGGGCGCAGCACCTCTCCTGTCTCCCCGCGGCTCCCCTCAGCAGTGGATTTCAATGGATCTGCCTGTTCTGCTCCCCACTCGTCTCTGGGGATTGCTCCCTTGCTCTGGTCCACAACCTGTCCCTGGAGATCAAGGCTCCTGTAGTGTCCTCACCGCTGGAGCGTGGACAGCGTCTCTGGGCTGTGCTGATGCTGCGCGTCCTGACCCCGGGATGCGGCTGAGCTGGGCAAGGTCCCCATGGGGCACAGTGGAGGCCTCTCCTGGGCCACCGCTGACAGCATCACCACCCACCTGGGCCGCCCACCCATCCACAGAGGCCTCACCCGCCACACCCCTGGACACCCCAACACACCTGTAGGGGGACGTGACACGAGTCCCCTGAACCCCTCACCTTCAGAGCCGAGAGTGACCCTTGCTGCAACAGCCCACATGGGTCACGTCACAGCAACAGGCATTTCCAGGGAACGTGGTACTAGCAGAGGAGCGTTGTCTTAGCAAACCCTGCAGGCCTCTTTGGACCAGGTCTGAGGTGAAGGCTGAGGGGCCTGATGCCATCTTTAATGGGCGCTCAAGGACACCTAGGAGCCTGCAGCATTGTGGAAAGCGGCCTGAGGCTTAGGGGTGAAAACCTCAGCGACCTCCCACGGCGCGTTGAGGAATATGGCCCGTGGCCCCGACACTCCAGGTGGAGTTTGAAGGGACCAATGTACCTCCCCCTGAATCAGGGAAGATGCTCTCAGGGGACAGACACCCCGCCAGTCACCGACCTGGAAACACAGGACGGGGACTCTGGCCGTAGAGATGTTCCTGACGGAGGAAGCTGCATAGAGGGCGCGGGCAGGGAGGAGTGGGCACCCAAGTCCCAAATCCACGATCAGAGAAACAATCCCCGACGCACGGGCCCCGAGCCCAGCCCTGCGGAGAGGACGCCGCAGAGCCGACACAGGGCACGACTGCAAATCCACAGACCAAGGCTAGGTGTGGACATGCAGGCGAGTAACGGGGGCAAACTCAGAGGGCCTCGGAGCCTCGGGAGAGGCCTCAGGCCAAGCCCTTCAGCAAGAGACACGCCGCAGAGACCCCCACGACCAGCCCCTGCTCCCTGCCCGCCACAGCCGTGGGAGCCCCTGCTTCTCGGCCCCAGCGGCCACCCCTAGGGACCGTTCTGCTCAGGGAGCTTTCTTGTCCTTACTCCTGTGAGTAAATGTCTGGCTCTTCTGGAACTCTGGGCTCCACTTGGAAGTACTTTCGTACCAAAGACAAGAAATGAGGAAGAGCACACCCGAGGCCTCAGACTCCGGGCCTGCTGCTCAAACTCTCCGCTCGGCATCACCACGGAGCCAAAGAAACACACCAGAAGGTGCCCGGGGCCCCTGAGGGGGGAGTGGTAGCGAGAGTGACATCAAGGACTTCCTCGGCCACCACCTTCCACACCGAGCACTCACCCCAAGCTATGAACTGACTCAGACAAAGACCACATTCAGGGCACGGCCAGCAACAGAGAAACGGATTATATTCAGAACAAAGAGTGCAGGAAAAAGACCTGGATTACATCATCACCTCCAGGAGGAATACAGGGGAACGAAGAAAGGGTCAGGGGAAAAAGACAAAAGTAGCAGGCAGATGACAGAGCTGAGACGCCAGCAGGGGATGGGGCAGAAGAGGGACCAGGAGGGGAGGAGGAGCACCAGGGCCTGGGGTGACAGGTCACAGGGGCGGTGCGGACAGGACATTTGCAAGAATTATACAGAAGGGGAGCAATCCAATATTGCACAAAGATGAACAACAATTTAAAAAAAAATTAACAGGCAAGAATCCTTTCCTTTAACAAAATTTCAGGGGCCTCTGTTGGTGCAGGGGTGAAGTCTCAGCACTATGAAGCTGTTTTCAGTACTGCAGACACGAGTTCGATCCCTGGCCAGGGAGGTGACCCACGGTCACAGTAGACCTCTCCTGTGTCCCCACTGCCCCCCTTAGCAGTGGATTTCAGTAGATCTGCCTGTTGTGCACCCCACTCTCTCTGCGGAGAACCCTCTCACCCCCTCATACCTCCGGCTTGCACCCCAGATCTTGCATGCAGAATTAATCTTCCAACAAAATTCCCTTATTTTGTAGAACTGGGGTGTAGACCAGAGGTTCGGGGGTGAGAGGATTCACCAGATACTGAGTGTGGTGACAAACAGGCAGAACCACTGAAATACCTGGCTAACGGGAGCAGCGGGTGACACAGGAGAGGCCTGCTGCGGCCATATGTGGGGCAGCTCCCTAGCTAGGGCTGAAACCCTGGCCAGAGCAGGCAATAGCGCTGAGACTTAACCCCGAGGCCACCAGGGAGGCCCCGAAAAACCTTCATCATGAAAGGTAGGTAAAGACACCTGCATACCTCAACCTATAACCGAGAGCACACAGTTCAACATTTCCTTCTAGAGGAGGACATTTTGGTGGTGAGCAATTCCAGCATCGGGGGGCACCACAAAGACTTAGAGTACTAGACAGAACGTGACGACTAAGTTAGAAAACCCAGAGAGATCACCTACCCACGCAACATGCAGTGTGCCATGTAGACAGACAGCTGCTGTGGACAGGCATAGCAGCGCCCAGGAACTTAAGAGGATACTAGAAGCAACAGCAACAGGAACAACGATATCATCACTGCATGAACTTCGGAGAACAGAGTGAACCAGGTAACTCCACGCAATTAAGATTGAAACTATGTCAGTTCCCATTGATCTCAGCTGCATGATGTGGTTTGAGCTCCTAAGTTTGAATATTTTTTAAAAGGTTTTTATTTATTCAAGCATACAAGAACCAGGGTACAGGCCAGATGTGTGGGAGGGTGAGAGGATGCACCAGAGACAGAGCGGGGAACAGAACTGGCAGACTGACCGAAATACAATGCTGAAATACACGCAGCGGGCCAGACAGGAGAGGTCCGCCAAACCATGGGGCTGCTCCTGGCCGGCCAGGGAATCTAACTCCCACCGCAAAGGCCACAGACAGCTTCACAACACTGTGCTCAACCACCTGCACCACCAGGGGAGGCCTGCCTGTCCACTCTTGACATTCATAGCATTTCCCTCCAGTGTGGAGTTTGTCATGCCTAGTGAGGGCTGACTTCCTGAAAAGTTTTCCCACTCTTCACAATCATAGGGATTTTGTCCAGTGACATCTCTGATGTCCAGTGAGAGCTTGCTTACTGGAAAAAGTTTTCCCAAGCTCTTGACACTAATAAGGCTTTTCTCCACTGTGACTCCTCTTATGTTTACTGAGGGATGATTTCTGGCGGAAAGCCTTCCCACATTCTTGACACTCATAGGATTTCTCTCCACTATGAATTCTCTGATGCTCACTGAGGTTACACTTACTGGAAAAAGCTTTCCCACACCCTTCACATTCATAGGGTTTCTCTCCAGTGTGAATTCTCTGATGGAGATTGAGGGATGACTTACTGGAAAAAGCTTTCCCACACCCTTCACATTCATAGGGTTTCTCTCCAGTGTGAATTCTCTGATGTCTCCTGAGGGATGATTTAAAGATAAAAGTCTTCCTACATTCTTGACATTCATACGGCTTCTCTCCACTGTGAATTGTCTGATGCTCACTGAGGTAATACTTACAGGAAAAAGCTTTCCCACACCCTTCACATTCATAGGGTTTCTCTCCAGTGTGAATTCTCTGATGTCTACTGAGGGATGATTTCAAGATAAAAGTCTTCCTACATTCTTGACATTCATACGGCTTCTCTCCACTGTGAATTGTCTGATGCTCACTGAGGTAATACTTACAGGAAAAAGCTTTCCCACACCCTTCACATTCATAGGGTTTCTGTCCAGTGTGAATTCTCTGATGTCTAATAAGTTGTGCCTTACTAGAAAAGGCTTTCCCACACCCTTCACAATCATAAGGTTTCTCTTCAGTGTGAATTCTCTGATGGAGACTGAGGGATGATTTCCGGAGGAAAGTCTTCCTACACTCTTGACATTCGTAAGGCTTCTCTCCAGTGTGAATTCTCTGATGCTCAGTAAGGTTAGACTTCCTGGAAAAAGCTTTCCCACACCCTTCACATTCATAGCATTTCTCTCCAGTGTGAATTCTCTGATGGAGACTGAGGGATGACTTACTGGAAAAAGCTTTCCCACACCCTTCACATTCATAGGGTTTCTCTCCAGTGTGAATTCTCTGATGTCTACTGAGGGATGATTTCAAGATAAAAGTCTTCCTACACTCTTGACATTCGTAAGGCTTCTCTCCAGTGTGAATTCTCTGATGCTCAGTAAGGTGAGACTTCCTGGAAAAAGCTTTCCCACACCCTTCACATTCATAGCATTTCTCTCCAGTGTGAGTCCTCTCATGTAGAACAAGAACTGACTTATAGGAGAACGTTTTGCTGCACGCCTGACATTCATAGGATTTATCCCTTGTATGAGTTCTCTGATGGACACTAAAAGCAGATTTCCGCCTGAAAGTTTTCTTACACGCCTGACACGGGTAGCACTTCACTCCCGTTTGAGACTGTGGATGTAAAGTGAGGGCAGTCTTCCATGAGTAAGTTTTCACATAATTGTTAGAGCCAAACAACTTCACTGCAGTGAGATTTCTCTGGTATCCCCTCTGTAAGGAAATCTCAGCGGTGCCCCCACACTCATCAGGTTGATCGTCTGCTTGTGTTTTCTGATGTTCAGTCAGAACAGAGGTTTTAGAGGCCGCTTCACCATATCTCTTATATCCCAAATTATTCTTTCCTAACTGGGTACTCTCACGCGGATAGGTGTGAAATGTGTTTCTGAGACTGGCCCCACTTTCACAACATTCCTTCTGCGCATGTTCAACATACCTAGGAGGATTCAAATGCACTGGAGTCATGTCCGCAGCTCTCCCCTTTTCATTACAACTGCAGGGAGTCTGTCTTCCTTGGGTTCTGTCTCGGACAACGAAAGGTACCTCATCACGGGTGTCCCTGCACTCATTGCATTTACGCACAATCCCTTCCAGAAGGGCTCCTCTAGGTGTAAATACTGTTTCTTCACTCACGACTTTTCCTTGTTCACGAAATTCAAAAGGCTGTTGAAAGTTCTGAATCACCTGGTGACTAAGGTGCTCAGGATACTTGATGAGTTCCCTCATTCTACTAAAGACCTCCTCGTTCTCTCCAGCATGCCCTTCATGAAGCTCACCAGGGATCATCATGGCCCTATGTATAGTAAAGTTCTCACGCATCATCGCTGAATTGTTTTCATTTTTGATACTATGGTTCAAACAATGAATTGAGTGCAAATTGCTTTTTTCCATTAAGTCAGTTCTCTCGTTGGATGGTATTTTGCTGCTGGTGGTAAGAACTTGCCACACATGTCTGCCCTGATTTGCAGGGCTGTCCTGAGTCAGGTGATCCACAGTATGGACATCTAAAGTGAGATAAAAATGACCATGTCTCTAAAAAGTAAGCATTTTGAGTGAATACTACTAAGCGGCACGAAAGTTCCTATATTACAACATAATTTACAGGTATTGATGTTCTGATTCATGCTTTTTGCCCATAGTAAATAATGGGGAGAATAGATTTTTTGGTATTTTTTACTTTAGCATAGGAGATCTGGGGTGTAGGCCAGAGGTGCAGGAGTGGGGGTGCTGTAGGGGAGCGTGCTGTAGGGGAGTGTGTTGACCAGAACACGCGGACTGACTGAAATACACTGTTGAGGGGAGCAGCAGGTGAGACTGGAGAGATTTGCTGTGCCAAAGTCGGTGAACTTCTTCACTGTGGATCAAACTCAGGCCATAATAGTGAGAGCTAAGAGACTTAATCCCTAGGCCTCCGGGGAGGCCCCAATTAACAGATTTTCTAATGCCCAACCAGGATAACAAAGCAGTAAATCTAATTTCACAATGGTTTTATAAAATCATAAATATTTGGTACATACAGTCTTTTAACTAGAGTTGTCCATTTCAACCAGAAGCATTTCACCCAACATAGATCCTACACACTTTCTTTCTTAGACTGACCCTGTGCAACTCTTGAGGGTACTTTCTGAATAACCAAGCCCTGCAGAGGCCATGGCTTTCCCAGAAACCTGTGGACTGAGAGACCCAGTCATTGCCCAGGCACTTTAAGCAAGAGGCCTGCTGAGACACAAGGACTCTGCTTCTCCATTTCCTTAGTTCTTCTTTCGACTCTGGCCCAGGCCACGGTCACCTGCAGAGGTTCTCAGAGGCATGTGCTTCCCTCCACGGGAGAGACCAGTCAGTTCATATTTAAATATCATTTCACATTAAGGCTCAGAATCCTAATACATGCAGCAAACTCCGCCTCATCATTGTGTCCCACATTCCTGCTAAGCGATAGGGAAAAAGTTCTGCATCCATCCTGTGCTATCAGCATTAAAGTCTTTTCTCACATCCTTCTGAGAGCAACACCCTGGTGTTCTCAACGCACTCCCTGAAACCTGTGTTTCTGCTTTGTTCATAGCAGCTCCAGTTTCTATGTCATGTGTGACTCTCAGCTACATCACACTGTCGTAGATTCCTTTACTTTCCCCCCAATGATTCCCACGAGAAGGTGGAATTGCACAGGTCACACTGCTCCTCAAGGTATGAGCCCCCAACCTGAAACTCTTGGTGCCATGGCTTTAGAAATCACCACCTCAGGTTCCCCCTCCCATGTCACAGAACATCCCTTCCAAAGCTGAACAATTCTGGGTCCTCCCCAGCCTCACAATTACTATGAGGGTGGTCACAAGGCTTGCCCCTGAAACATTACTCATGTTCTAAATAACTCTCCAGTCAACGCCTTCTATCCCCTTTGAGTTAGTCACCTGCTCAGTGACATCTCCAATAGCAATACATAGCCGCTATCCCAGACTGCAGAGGAACTATAGATATGACATGTCAGTGCAACCCATTCACCTCACCTGAGCTCTGAAAGAAAAGAATTAATCTCTATAATGATGCGTATGGAGCACACACAAAAACAACATCCTCCACTTTGTTTCACTCATGCTGGTCAAACATCCTCTGTGGCTTTACCTCTCTATTAATAAATGTATTTATTACATATTCTTTCCTCACAGAGTGTATAACTTCAGAATGTAAACATCATTTCTGTGAGTACTGTTGCTCTCCCCTCTCAGAAAATTTACCACCGGCTAAACTTCCCATAAACATACGGAAAGAATAAAAAAATTCCTCAACAGGAACCTAAAGAAAACAGTCTATGAGAATACACTAAGAGAGAGAATAGAGATATGTGATTACTGCAGAATCATCCCCATGTATCAGGGACTGCATACTGGTTTAAGAATATAGACAACCATTATTAAAGAGCAGGACAAATTCACAAGAGAGTAATATTTGGAAACTGAATAAAGAATCAGTTTGATATATGCAGACACACTCTCCAAGATTGGACACTGGAAAAGCACCTCAGTGTGGCCAATATCACTGGCCACATTCCCAGCCTCCTCTCAGTCGCTCCGGCCTGGCAAGCACTGACTGACCTGAGAGGTCCTGGTTTGGGGGATCATCCACAGTCCACGGCTGTAATCCCTGCTCCGACCTGATGCTCTCCTCAGGATCGGTAACACAGTGCCCTGTGATGAGAAACAGTGAGGGTCTTCAATCAAGTTCAACTTCAGTCTTTGAAAACTAACAAAGGCAGTGTGAAGAGCTGTGCAAAAGAGGCCAATCTGAATCTTTCCAAAGGAAAACCGAAACACCCACAATGTACACTGCCTGCCATGTTCAACCTCACCAACACTCAGTTTCATAAGCAAGTGCACACTTATCAGTGCAGAAGACAGCATTGCACTAGAGTGTTACACTGGAGCTTCCTCACCTAGGGACACCAGGTGATTGCAGGTTCCAGCATCACATCCCGGTACAGGGTCCTCTGAGCTTCACTCAGGTACCGCCACCCTGCCACGTGAAGTTCACAGCCACATCTTCAAATGACACCGTCCCTTCTGAGGGAACATTTCTCATCTTAGGGCCAGCAGCCTGGGTCAGACAGAGCAAGTGCAAACACATCTTATTTTGTGGGTCTTCGGTCCTGTATAGAATTCGCAGTTGAAAGAGCCTCGCCTCTACATTCACCCCTTTGGTCCTACAAGTAAACTATAGCTTACCTTATATATTTGGAAGTGTCTATGATTCTAAGAATAAAGGATGAATAAAATTGGCTCCTTGAGGAGCTGATAGCCTGGCTGGCAGGTGTAACAGACACACACCCGGAATCATGTGCTAAAGGAGCTTCATAACAAATGAAAACATGTGCAACTTTGTGCCAATATTTTACTCCCGTGACCTCAAAGCCTGCTATCTCCAACTCACAGTAAACAAAAACTGAACCCGAACCAGGATGTTCAAGCAATGAGGTGGGAAAAAGCAAAGGTAAGAGATGTTCAACTACAAGCAAGTATAAACCAGAGATGCACTATGGGGGGGGGGGGGTGGATTTAGGGTTAAATAAGGGGGTGGGATGTATGGGGACTATAACCAAGATGAAAATGCATAACTTGTGCAGAAATAAAAAATGATGTAAATATATATAAAATAAAATTTTAAGAAAGATGTTCAGCTGACAGAGTCAGAAGAAGACAGAACAGGTCATCACTTCTAAATGGAAGGACAAAGGGGAGGAGAACTTGGTAATAACTTGGTGGCTGAGGTACGAGGAATGTTTTCCTAATATGCTGTCTGCATGACGGGTTGGTAGACACTGGAATTCCACACGCAACTGGACATGTGTTTGATAGATCAGGAAGTCTAATGTGAAAACAGAAATTTGGGAATCAGGTCCTCCCTGGTGGCACAAGAGTTTAAGTCTCAGCACCATGAAGCTATCAGCAGCTGCTGCAGCAAGAATTCGATCCCCAACCAGGGAGCTATCCACAAGGCGCAGCAGGCCTCTCCTGTCTCCCCACTGCTCCCCTCAGCAGTGTATTTCAGTCAGTCTGCCTGTTCTGTTCCCCGCTCTGTCTCTGGTGAATCCTCTCACCCCCTGCACCTGTGGCCTACACCCGAGCGTTTATTCGATACATAAAATAAATATTAAAGAAATATCTCCAGGATATTATTGATAGTTTTCATCACCGCAGGGGAGAACACGGTGACCAGAACAAAAGGTATGGAAAGAAGAGGAAAAACAACTAGAAGAGACAAATATTTCTTTGAGAAAGAAAAAATAGATCATAGCAACGAAAGAGTTTTGAAAAATAAGATACACGGTATAAGAAAACAAACATCTTAAGAAATCCCTAAATTTATTCCATCATTTCCTTTCCTGTGTAGTAAATCCTGTGCACCTCTACATACATATAGAATAGGAACCCATTAAAATAAATTTCCATTTGTATTAGCTAAAAAAGGATTCAGAGGATTTTTCCTCAACACAAAACAAGTCCTTGACAGCCACAGGCGACATCAACATTCCCAGTGAGAGAAGGACTACAAAGACGCTCAGTGTCCCCCATTCACAATGGGTTTGGGTGACGCTAGGTAACAACAACAACAAAAAGACAACATACATAAAAATGGTCATAGCTAGTTATAATTCATTCTTGGAAAACTAATGAAAGCCAAAGTAAAGCGACTCTGGAAAGGAAAACCCAGTGAGCAGACTATAACACACACCCGTGTTCACACACACAGGAGCTCCTGTACGCTGCCAGTGAAATGACAAAACAGTAAGCAATGCATGTAGCGGAACCAAGGGCAGAGACTCGCTGGAATAAAGAACCCGGAGGGTTAAACAATGAATAAACAAATGCAAAGACACAACAGCATCCAGGACACGATGAGCCTGCTGCACTGACAGCAACTCTCGCAAGGTAACCCGGCACATCCCAGTTCTAGGAAAACAAAATGCATTTATTTACAGGCCCATTGATTAAAACACTAATAAGAGAAATAAAACAACAGCAGAGAGAACGTGGATGGCTCATTTCTGCGCACAGAAACTCACGGGACTCCAGCAGAGTGGGCTCAGGATGCCATAAAAGGACCATATGATGAAATGGGACAATACACTCCCCTTGCACTTTCCACCCTGTTCAAAATGGAAATGCGCAGCAATGAGTAAAGGACTGGAATATACAATTCTGCAAATCACATACCCAAGCGGGTCCTAACACATGAACGTTCTCAATACGATCAGTCACGAAGGAAAATGAATCAGAAGTACAAGAGATGAGATTTCACGTCCGCTGGGATCGCAATGATTTAAAAAGAAAGAAAAGAACAAGTACTGGCAAAAATTGGGACCTGGCTCCCTTGCGCACTGTTGGGGCAAACATAAATGATGCAGCCAGGAGGGAAGACAGGAAGGTGATTCTTGGGAAAAGGGAACTCAGAATGACAGGAGGACCCACCCCCACCCCGGGTGTTCACCAATAGCAGGGACAGCCGGAACGGGCAGAGACGTTTGCTCACCTACTGTCACTGCACCACCAGTCATTACAGCCCAAAGCAAAATCAACCCAAGCCCAGGTGATGGATTAATGGATAAATAATCCATTACATAAGAGATTATTAATGAGCCTCACAATGGAACTAAACAATGACACACACTACAATATGAATGCACTCCTGTATGATACCTATGAAATGACAAAACAGTTAACAATGCAATAAAATAAGAGATTCACCAAGAAAACAAGGTGTAATAAGACTACGTTCATACAGGTCTGAGTTGTCAAACTCTTGAAAACAGAAATAAAGGGTGGACACAGGGGCTCAGGGACAGAGCAGTTGGGAGCGAGAGTTTAATGAGTACAGTATTTTATTACTGGGAAATGAAAAAATCTGGAAGGTGGTGATGGCTGTATAACAAGGTCAGATACTAAAAGCCAAAGAACACCACATGCAATAACAGCGAAAGGAGACTTTTTATTTTACATTTAAATAAAGGGTCAGGGGCTTTCCTGGTGGCTCAAAGGTAAAGACACTACCTATGGAGCTGTACCGCATCCACAGCAGCACAAGTTCAATCCCCAGCCAGACAGCTACACATGCATGGCAGACCTCTCCTGGCTCGCCCACTGCTCCCCTCAGCAGTGTATTTCAATAGATTTGCCTGTTCTGCTCCCCACTCTGTCTCTGGAGAATCCTCCCCCCTCCCACACCTCTGGCCATACCTCAGTTTTTGTATGCATAAATAAGTTCATCTTTTAAAATATGAATGAATGAATGAATGAATGAATGGAGGGCCACGTTTTCTAGGAAAAGGAGAAAAAGAGCAACAGTCATGCTGGGGGCAGAAGAGCAGCCACTGCTGCTCCCCACAGTGCAAATTTTATAAAATGAAACACTTGCATGGTCACAGGTGACAGAAGAGCTGGTAAATTAGGTTGCAAAATATATTCATTCTATCAATATTCTATAAACATCTATCAAAATTAAAAAATCTACCATTAACCGTAACTTCAGCAAGATCATATGTATGACAAATGCAAACACACCTACTATACTCCAGACTCGATGACAGAAACCTAAGCTCTTTATAAAAACTACATTGAGCATCACTGACATAAACTCCCAACAACCAAAGGTCAAATGATGAACATCTGCGCTACCTGGTTTTACTCAGCGAGTGTCTGTGTCATGACCCTTGTTCAAACGTGTCCACTGACCCCTGAGTACTTTCTCCCCCTGAACTCTGAGGTGTCACCAACACCTGGCCAGTCGGAGGCAGAAAAGGGAGCAACCTCATCACTGAGAAAACACATCCATCAGGTTTGGCCAAGACGAGAACTGTAATGTGAAAGAAAGTGAACACACACACTCACACGCACGCACGC